AGCAAATGAACCTAATTTGAAAGCGAACACATACATTAGTAAATAGCGCGCACACATACATTCATACATATACCAAAGGCAACAACAAAGGCCACGAATATATGTATTGCGTTGGGCTGGCAACGCTCATTAAATACTCTTTCAGTTCAGCCGCCGCTTTCGTTACGTTTTACGTGCGGACATTGGATGGGAATTTAAATTGGTAATGCGACCGTTGCCGAACTCTTGCCAGTTGTTGTTGCCGTTGTTGTTGGTCGGACGTTAACGTCCTCGACACTATCGCACAGTTGAGGACATACATATGTACAGTCGAGCGTACATGCAGCTACATACGTACCGAATGCTGTACATGGCATTTTGTACATACAAAGTCGCATGTGGCTGTGTATGCACAGCAAACTGCAAGATACAAGATACTCGGCCAGGGGCGGCGTTCCAACAGGGGTTTTCAGGTTAAAAGGGGGATGGTGGAGAAATAACAGCTAAGGGGTTAAAATTCTAAATATTAAGAAAAATAAATAATCATATAAAATGAATAAATTTTAAACCTAACATTACAAATTTTACATGAAATACACCCCTGGACTTATATGGATTAGGGTAAGGTCAATTTTCATTTTTTTTTTACTTTTGATAACTTTAAAATTAATAAAAAAAAGTATTTAATTAAATTTTTTCTACTTACAAAAGTATTTGTACTTTTGTGGTCCTTCAAAATGTTATACTCCAACCTTTATTTAAGTAAACCCCTCGGCTCTGCGCCTCTGCCACCACTCAATGTCCCATGCCCATGCTTCATGCTGAAATATGTATTTTCGAGGCGCACAAGCTGCGCACATAGTGCCCTCGACCTCCTCCGTTTGCCCCTTCTCCCAGCCGACTCTGCGTTCCACTCTGCAGTCCCCGGCCCCTCTTTCCATACCCCTCCTTAGTGTGTTTGCGTCTGCCTCTCCGCCTCTGCTTTTGCCTGTGCCTGCGCCTCTGCCTCTGCCGCTCTACCGCTGCTTGTGCTCTGCCAGCGTCGTTGTTGCCTCGACCGCTATTTTTATGTACCAGCACAAATACATGCACATAAATTGTTGCCGTGGCAAAAGGCAGCAGCAAAGGCAACACCAACAACTACAGGCGAGTGAGTTTCTGTTCCTGCCACATCCACGTTGAAAAAAAAGCGAACAGGGTTGCATGCAACATGAAATGGACATGGACATGGATGGTTTTTCTTTCCTTCTCCCCACTCTTTTACTCTCTCCTCTTTGCTCCGGCCTTTCTATTGAGAAAAGACACTTTTCCTCTCTCCCACTCCCTTTCTCTTTCTCTTTCTCTTCTTGCCCTCCCTCGTTCGCCTGCGCTTCCGCTGCAACGCTGCTGCTGCATCGCTGTTTGTTGTTGCTGCTGATTCACACATTCCTAATTGAATTATCACGCAGCAGATGAGAAATATGTACTATATCACTCTAACCCTCATTCGCACCCGCTTCCCCGTAGTTCCACAAATACTTATTTTTAGACTCCGAAAACTAATTAGAAGAAGCGCACTCGAAATCTTCGCTTGGCGGCTACACAGTCAGAAATAAGAGCCCTTACTTTGAGATCAACATTTAATGGTTAATGACTTATATCTTGTACTGCCTATCTTATTGGTATTAAATATTACACAATAAATACTATCTTGTGTTTATAAATTCTTTTTTTTATGATTTCTTGAAAAGCGACACTACAAAAAATATGCTTAATTTATGACCTTAAAATTTAGAGGATAAACTGTTCGCAATTTAAGATCAATGAAATATTTTACACAATTCGATGATATTCCGATCATATTTTACTATTTAAGAAACTATAAGGTCTAACACTCGAATAACATCGAAATTTGTCCGTGTGTACAGCTTCATTCGCTGCATGCGCTGGCGTCGCTGCTGGCATCGACGTAGGCGTCGAGTGCTGGGGTTTTAAATTCGAGAAAGGTTTTCGGTTTCGGTGTCGATTTATATACCGAAACGCCCATCGCCGAACGCTTAACAAAAGCCTCTCATTTCCATTTTATGTACATTTTTCAGTTTTTCGTTTTGCGTGGTCGTTCGTACAAAGCAGGATGAGGTTCCCGCACCCCGCACACCGCATCCCGTACCTCGAACCCCGAATCCCGTTTGAAAAACCCAGAAGACTACGACGTCGGCAGAGCAACCCTCCCTTTCACACAACACACAGATACATGTACCAACATCGAATCGCACTTGGGCTTTTCAACTAATTGTATCGCCTTTGTTGTACATAGGAGTTTTTCCCTATGTACTCGTGGGCATATGAAAACCTATATGTTGGTAGACCCCCATCTCCAGAGCGGCTTCATTCGTTGCCAGCTAACCGCCTGGCCCAGCGAAAAGATACAGATACGCCGGTACAGATACGGGGATACGGATACACATAGAGCGGCTCAGATACAGTGACAGCCCAGAGGCGAAATTTTGTCATTCCGTTCGTCTGTAGAAACTGATAGTCCCGTCCCCGTTGTTATTGTTGTCGCTTTGGCTTGGGCCCTGGAATTTCGAGCATTTTCACAGTTATTCCGAGGGTTGGCGGCACAAAACAGCCGAGGCAAAGGAAGCTGCGCTTCAATGGGATGTGGTCTCCGATAGCATCTGAATCAGAGTTGCCTTTTAATATCTCTCTCCGGCCAAATGGATGCGAGGCTTCACGTGGTGCCGCTGGATGTCCGGATTACGAGTATGTGTGTGCCGCCTTTTGCAATAGCGAAATTAAATTACAAGAATTTATATTGGCCGAGGGGTACGCACTGAGGGTGGTTCTGGGTCTTCGAGTATCCCATACTCATACCCATCTATGGCTTTAAAATTATGATTCTGTCGTTGCGAAGCCTGAATCTGACAGTGAGCGCGTAGGTTGGGGGTGCTGGATATTGCAATAAAAACGAGTTGAATAACAAGGGGTTAAAGCCCATAGTCAGGTACTATTATTAAATGGGATTAATCTATATAATCTGCAAAGAAAGTTTTTAGGGACACAGATATTACGCTTTCATATTATTTTATATTAATTTGTGACCGATGAAATAAATTATTTATTTTTCGAATAAATCGAAGAGAAGTTCTGAGGACTAAATTATTTATTCAAACTTAAATCAGTTTTTTAGGCTTAATACAAATTAATGACATAAAATAAGCAGTTAATAAAAAGTTTTTAATTGTATCCTCTTTTGTATACACTTAACATTTGAAGTAATAATTATTAATATGATTTTTTCGGTGTCCACGCTTTTAAAATGATATGGTGAAAAAATACAGGAATACCTTAAAATAATATTAGATATTCTTTTTCTTTTACATGGCTGGAACAAGTGATATTATTTTTTAAAGTCAAGCTTTTATATATATATATATGTATATATATATGGGGTATATATATATAAATATATTTTGTCCATTAACTAGAATTATTTGCGGGCTGACTAAGGGCCAGTTTACAAGTTAACAGCTTTAAATGTATTCAGTTAAAACTGTTTGTTAAACCCTGACTTCACCTGTTAGTTCAGCTTTTGTTGGAGCCAGTTCGAATTCGAGTTGTTAAAGCGACGGCATTTTCGAGCCCCAAGTAAGCGGCCCACATAAACCAGTTTTTAGCCACGTTTTGTCTTTATAAATGTTTCTTAATGAAAATTAATTGTAAACTATAATAAGACTTCCAGAAACAGTCACTAGATATTAATAGATCTTCCTTCGTTTCTGGGGTAATTTATATTAATACATTTGTAGCAACAAAGACCGCCTCATTTGGGCTACTTGCCACACGCAGTTGGCCACATCCACAGGCCGAGTTACTTGCCACAGAAGTCCAATTGAGTTCGAGGCCGGGGAGCGGCTTGATTCCCACTCAGCCAACCAGAAAACAGTGCTGCCGACGAGCGAATGAAACGACCAATGGCAGTCGAGCAGCGAGCGCGAGCGCGAGGGAGAGGGAAAGTACGCGCAAGAGCGAGATAAGGTTAGTGAATGGGGTCTCGAAAAAAATAGAAGATACTCGACATTTGGGGTGTATCTCTACATTAACTCGACATCCCATGTAAAAACCAACAGAAAGCTCTGGCAAAGCTTCGCAAAGTGAAGCATAACTCGGGGTGTTACGGATTTCAGATATAGCCAATTCTGGACAAGATCGCCAGAAAGCAGATACATTTTTACCATAATAAGACTAACAATATATTTATTCATCTCTTAAAGTTAAGGCCAAACAACACTTTTAAATAAGTTCCCAAAGAGTATGAATGAAAGGAGCTTCAATGATCAAATTTAATCATCCACAACTTTTGACTAATTTTGTAGTAGTAGTAATGTTTATTTGAGCCAGCCTTGTCAATTATAGTACTATTCTGACGTTAAGTAAGTAAGAATGTATTTCCTGTCGACGATTAAAGCGGATTTATAACGAAACGACTCGTGGATAAATCTTAAAATAGCAATCGTCATAAATAGTCTTGCTCTCACCTTCGTGAAATCATATAGTCAAAACAAAAAATGAACAATGAATGAGGCCAACAATGTGGTGTCATAACCTTAATATAAAAATTGATAAAAATTCGCTTAAGCTTTTTAAACAATGCTAAAATGTTTATACCCAGCCATTAGATGGTAAACATTTAATTAAAAATTAATTTATTAAATTAAAAAGTTAATTGAAATAATCCTACTATAAAAACAATTAAAATAGCATGTTACTTTCCCCAAGGCAATCTTCATATTAAAGTAGAAGTCGACTCATAAATTATACCATTTGCTTTGGTGTTATATGACAAATACTGTAATTATAATTAAGTTTTTATAATAAGTTTTGTTAACCTTTAAGCGCCAAGAAAAAATTCCAGGAATTAGTCAGCATATATTTTCTTGAGTATTTGTAAATAAACTAGGAATAAAAAGTCATTAAAGTAATTGTATTGCAAAGATAAATAAAAGGGCACCCATTGAAAGAAGAGAGACAGAGTGTGGTTTAGTGGGAAGGCATTTTTAATGAAACAAGATGAATTATAAATTAGCGGGGTTGGCAGACGAAACGGGAGAGCAGCTTAGCCCTTGACCAGGACCTCGTAGTGGTCTAGACGCACCTCCTCGCCGCCGAAGGGAATGTAGAGGCAGTGATGCGACTGGTGGATCTTTCCGGGCGTCAGACTGCCGTGGTGGTGGGCACGACCGATGAAGAGGGGCTCTCCTTCCGAAGTTCTGCCACAGAGCACGGCGTTTCCGGGCACATTGCCATGGCTGTCATGCACCCATCCGTATCCGTATCCGGCCAGCAGCTCGTAGTCGTGCTTGACCACCTCACCGCCTCCGTAGGGCACATAAGCGCAGCCCTTGCTGGGAATCACCTGTGGATTAAAGGGGAGAATTAAAAAATGTCTTAAAGTGAACTGTTCTCGAAAAAGGAAAACAAAAATTAAAACTTCCTTTTTTGCCAAAAAAAAACTTTTTAACTTAAAGTCTCCTTACCTTAGCTGGCAGCAAATCGCCTTCGTGGTAGGCCCGGCCCACATAGATCTGATCGCCATCGCAGTCGTGTCCGCCAACCACTGTTCCGGGCACAATGCCGCGTCCGTGAGAGGCGACCCAAGTCTCTGGCTGAACTAGAACTTCATAGGCCTCCAGACGGTGCTGCAAAATTAAAGATTTTATTAATAATAATTATTAACCAAAAGTAATTTGCTTTTTTTAGAAAGAAAAATAATGAAAGGCTCAGTAATGGCAATTTACTGAGTCGCGAATATAATCATTAATCAAACAATCAATCGACTATCTTAATCTAATCTAAAAAAAGAAAAAGAATTGATAATAAATAATAAATAAATTTTTAAAGTATTATCAAATTAGAAGTCAGTGAATTTCTTGTTTGGAAAACACAAAGGAAAGGTTCAAAGAGTAGGTTATTTTAAAATAAGCAAACGAAGGTTATAATTAAACTGCGGCTTATTTAGGTAAGTCAATTGTTTGTTAAAAAAAAACAAAGGCAATTATTATGTAAGGTAAACTAAAGGTTTACGCTCAAGATTAATTATGAAAGGATTATCAAAATACAAGACAGTGAATTTCTTGTTTGGAAAAGAAAAAAGTAAATGTCATGCCTAAAGTGAAATTTATAAGGTTATAAAAATGAGTAAAGTAAAGTGAAGGCTATAATTAAACTGTTGTAAAAAAAAACAAAGCTAATTATGTGAGATAAACTTAAGGTTGGACCTACCTCCTGTCCTCCATAGGGGATGTAAAGGCACTGGTGGGAGGGATGAATCTTGCCGGGCGTTAGGCTGCCCTGGAAGTAGCCACGTCCCACATACAGGGGTTCACCATCGCCGGTCTGGCCGACACGGATGGCATGGGGCGGGACGGATCCGCCGCTGGACGGGATCCAGGAGTAGTGGTCGCCGACGAGGACCTCGAAGTCGTGCTTGCTGATCTCCTGGCCGCCCCAGGGCACATAGGCCTGCTGCTTGCCGGGCACCACTTTGGCGGGCAGCATCTCCCCGTTGTGGAAGGCACGGCCCACGTAGATGGGATCCTGGTCGGAGTCATGACCACCCAGGATGGCACCCGGTGGCAGGGATTCGTAGACATTGGTGCTAATCCAGGTGTAGTCTGCAAAACGAGTGGAATATTTGGAGCAAGGTCAGAGGCGATAAGTTTTAACTGGTGTGGCCCAACTGTACTCATATATAATCAGACCCACTCTGTCTATTTCGTTATCTGACCAGGTGTGAAATCGGCGGATCTATGGAAAGCTTCCAAAGCTCCAGGGGATTTCGGCTGTCAGGTGAGCGGACTATCGATGACACTTGGCCACTTGTCACAACTAATTATGGCACTGTGCCATTAGCAGGAATAATCTTAGTCACCAAACTACTTTACACGACTTTTCTCACCTCCCATGTTGCTGTTGTGTTGATTTAGGTCTGGATCGTAGTTATATATACTCGCTGGCTCCGTTCTGTTTGGGCTGACTTTAACGACTGGTCTCCAACTGCAAAACGTCTGCGCCTTAAAAGCTGGTGTGTCGCCTTATCAGTCGGCAATGTTAACCGAATTTGATAAGATACCTTAGTCACAGTGGCTTGGACTATACGAACTATGTATATACATTTATGAATGTTCAACAAAAGGGATCCTTATATTTTACTGGCGGTTTCTTCATTGCGACCAACTGACAGCTGTGTCTGATTGTCTGTTTTTTGATTTACCCTGGTCAAAACAATTTAAATTTCATACTGAGCAGGAAGGGAAACGACAATTACTCAATCGATCTTATACATGTGTGCTCTTGTGTACACATTGCCGGTTCGGTTTTATCTTTAAGCAATTGCCCACGAATCTTATCGCCGGCACTCAAAAATAAACTTGATCAATAAGTTCATAAAAAAGGAAAAAAGTACACGTATGTTTGCTGTCCATGGATCAACTTTAAGTTGAGGAATTTACTTCTAGAACATAGAAAAAGGGCCAGCATGTCAACAAGTATTCTACATATTTCGATTATTAGTTACAAAAGTAAGAAATTTACCTCAGCTGTCTTGTGACTGCTATGTGCAGCTGTTTTAAGGAAAAGAGACTCATTTTCGTTTGTAAATGAGTCAATTTCAAAAGAACTTTATTGATATTACAATCTTAAGCGCCACTATGAATCAGACTTATTTATAAATTGCAATTGAAATCTTAAACAAAAGCAAGTCCTATTCATTACACTCAACAAGCTGAATCAGTTGTATCAACATAAAAAAAGGTTTTTGAACTCACAAGCAAAACCAATCTTTATGGGACAAGTTGATATCCATTTTGTTTGTTTGAAGCAAATTAACATCTGTTGTTCTACAGATAATTATTTTTACTTTAGTTGTATGTATCTTATAATCCTCTCTAAATTATACAAAGCTTATCAAAATCCTTTTACATTGTATTTTATTTCCTGCTTTAATTGGAAGCAATAAACTATCCTTCAAAATGTGAATGCTCCTTTTTCAGGTGTCTTTCCTAGAATATTCCGTAGTGTTATTTTTTTGGGTTAGCCTTATCGGCATTTCACCGGGGGATTTTTTACCATCAGAGTTTCTAGCAGGCGTCACAATGTTTATGGGCTCTTTCTGTTGGCGTTCCACCTGTCAAGTGCCAAAAACAATATCACCTGTAACAATGTGTGCATGTTTCTCTTTCCATACCCCAAAAAGTACCTCTTTTTTCGGGACAATGACTCATTTTCGATCGATAAAGGGAACGCTTTTCTGGAAATGGAGCTTTCTAGACTGGAAGTGAAAAGTCGATATATCAAAGGCACCAATATCAATTGCAGTTGTTTTGCTATACATATACAAGCTGATAGATAAAAGCTCGCCGATAAGAGTCGGTGACAAATCGGTCTGGTTCGGTTTTTAAACGTCAGTCTGTTGTTGGCCAACGGTTCAGTGAAAGAGCAAACCTCAGTCTGATCAGACGTTTTGAGGACCTACTAAAGGGATATAAACGAGAATATATAAAATTGAGATATCACAATTTATTACGAGGAATAACCCCTTATCATCAAATTATACACAATGGGTAAGCTGAAATTTGCAACAAAAAATATTGTGAATTTTAATATTCACCTTCAAAAATAGTGCTAATCTGAGTTTGAATCTTATCAACCAATATGTGCTCGTTATGCATTGGGAGATTTTAAAAAGTGTAAAATATTGCATTGCCCTCACGTATTTACCAAAACTTTTTTTTTTTAACTTTGAACTTTTATTATTTCACAACTACAAAAAGTTGATAAGAACATTATTCAGTTATTTACGAAATACGGTATTGGTGCGTCGCAGATAAAACCCAGTGAACGGGTGAAAAAGTAGCCAATTGCTGACCAATTGTGGTGACATTGTTATTTTTTCTCTGTGTACCATCACCACCTAAAAACGCCTGCAAAGAGCATTGAGTGACTTCTACGGTTCTCCGCTTTTCTTTGCACTCTTCCAGGCGCCGTGCAGCCGGGAGCAGTTGTGACCGTTGGTAGGACGAGTGCAGTGAGCCCAGGGTGAAACCCCTACGCCTCTGTGAACCCCCAAATCCCTCTTGATACCCAACCCAGACCATCCACCCCCAAAAATCGAACAGCAAGCCAAATATCTACACAGAGAAAAAGCTGAAGAGTATGAATCACTTTAATTTATCTGTTAATTTAATCTCAGTCATACTACTTTTATCTAAAATAGTACAAATTTACTTTGATGATATCAGGGAAAATTATTAGCTTTCCCTTAATATAGTTGCAAAAAAAATTAAAAATTAAAAGACATTTATGAAAATGTGCCTTTATAGAGTATACAATTAACTTCAATGATCTGAGATAACCTTCAAAATATTATCAGTGCCAAGTGAGTAACAGAAGTGTCAGCTTTTTCTCTGTGTGTACAGGCAGGTTATCTTATCGCGTGGTGTCAAGCCTATCGCCTTAACGCCTCTCTCCTTGCAGAAAACACCTGGGTGCACTCGTCTCCCCACGCCCCCCTGCCCCCTTACGCGGTGATCGGTGGCCACGACTCGGATCGCACGCCCATCTACGTGGGTCGATCCTTTCACGAGGGCGAGAACCTCCCCGCCAAGGTCATTCCGAGCAAGGGCTGCGCTTATGTCGCTTACGGCGGTTCGGAGCACCAGAAGAGCCACTACGAAGTGCTGGTGGGACAGGGATTCGCCTGGGTGCCCAGTGCCAGTGGCGGAGTGCCGCCGAATGCGGTTAGGAGTGGAACGACCCGTACGGGGGAGCCACTCTACGTGGGACGTGGTCATCATGCCGGCAGCTTGACCGTGGGCAAAGTTCATCCATCGCATGGCTGCCTGTACATTCCGTTCGGTGGCCAGGAGGTCAGGATCAATCAGTACGAGGTGCTTATCAAGCAGCAGTACGACAATTGGGTGGCCGCCTCGCCCAGTTACACGCCGCCGGGTGCAGTGATCGCCGGTCACGACTCCGACCGTACGCCCATCTACGCCGGCAGGGCGATGCACGAGGGCGAGATGCTGCCCGCCAAGGTGGTGCCCAGCAAGGGCACCGCTTACGTCTGTTTCGGCGGCTACGAGTTCCAGAAGCCCAGCTACGAAGTGCTCACCGGCTGTGGATATGTCTGGGTCCATGCCGGACATCATATTCCACACAATGCCGTCTCCACCGGACGTGCTCGCAACGGAGAGCCCCTGTACTATGGACGCGGTCACTACCAGGGCAGCCTGACCCCGGGTCTGATCTCGGCCAGCCAGCGATGCCTCTACATTCCGTACGGCGGTCGGGAGATCCGCATCAACTCGTACGAGGTCCTCTGCAGGCAATAACCTGCCGAAGCCCCATTATTACCATATGCATTTAGCCCAGATCAAACTGTTATCGCAAATCAAACACAATAAACCGACTGCTAACACCCAAGAAATGTGTATATTTTGATTGCTTAAGCTATACGTTTTTGTTTGCCATTTCATTGTGTATAATATTATATACTTAATCGGATGGCCAGATAATTTATGACCTAGGATAAGATATTTTGCAACCAGATTCATTTCCTTCTTATATTTATTTAAAGTTAGGTAACTTTAAAGGAGGCACAAAGCTTACTTTATACGCTAAAAACATCGCTTTTAAGCTAAACAATTTTAAAGTTTTACTGCTTAGTATATGTGTTTGCAAAATCTTTGTAAGCAGAACAAGTTTAAATGTTATTTCTTATTTTGGTGTACAATTATTTTCCATTTACAACATTTTGACTGTGATTTTTTTCACGAAAGAGTTTATTGAACGCATTTGTACAAGGTATCAAAGTAACATGAAGTCTGATCTTTACAAAGACTTTATAAGTTATATACATTTAAAACTTTTATACAATAATTTTTGTCATGGAAGATTTTTTGAATATATCTGAGTAATTTAACAAAAATAGGTATCATAGTAATTTAAAGTCTTAATATCTTGAGAAAAACTTTATGGGTAAAACAATATTAAATAAATAGTCTTATTTTGGGGTAAAATTACTTTCTGCTAGTAATACAAGTATATTTAAATCTTTTTGGCTATGGTTTCGGTCATGAAAGTATAAAGTAATACAATAAGGTCTGATTTAATAACATTTTTATTTCACTTGGTTAGTTATGAATTGTTATATATCCTTTACAATATTTGCTTGCCTTACTAATCATTCCCTTTTTTACCTTTCAGCCTACAAGTGGGTACAATCCTCGGCCTACTCGTCTCTTCCCGAGGAGGCGGTGGTGGGCGGCAACGATGAGGACGGCGCCATGATTTATGTGGGCAGGGCGGAGCACGACGGCGACATGCTGGTGTGCAAGGTGGTGCCCAGCAAGCAGCTGGGATTCGTTTCGCAGCGTGGAGAAGCCCTGCCCAAGGACATCTTCGAGGTGCTGTGCGGTCAGAATCTGGTGTGGATCAAGTGCTACGACCATGTGATACCCGAGAACGCGGTACTCTGCGGACGCACTTCGCTGGATCAGCCGGTGTACATTGGTCGTGGCCATTACGAGGGTCACCTGATCATTGGCAAGATCTCCTCCGTGCATCGGGCTCTGTTCATCGCTTTTCGTGGAGCCGAACGTCGCCTGGATTCCTATGAGATTCTTGTGGAGGAGCGAAGAGTGTTGCCGGGTTGGCAGTTGCCCCCACCACCTCCTCTAGAGGAGCCGGAAAAGTGTCCACTTACCCCACCGCCTCCACCACCACCTCCAGCTCCAGCGATGGCTCCTCCACTGCCAGCCAAACCGTATCCTTATCCAGATCTGGCTGCCATGCCATTTCCCATCGCTGACAGACCTCCGGCTTATACACCCACGCCGGATCCATTGCCTCCGGTTGGAGGTGTGATGGTTATACCACGCCCCCCACCGCCACCGCCTGTGGGAGGTGTAATGGTGATGCCACCACCACCAACATCGTTCACCCCCGCCGAGGTTTCCGTGTCTCCAGCCCCATCGTTCGTTGCCGCCGAGGTATCCGCCGTATCCGTACCCGCCGGACCATCCTATACGCCCGCCTCCACCTACAATCCCTACGAAGCCGGCTGCTCATCCTACACTCCGGCCGAATGTGCTGGTCCGTCGGTCTACGATGCCTACGGCTATGGCAACAACTACGATGTGTGGGTATCCGCCGAGCCGGGATTCTACTACTCACCCGATGCCGTGATTGGTGGTCACGACAGCAACATGGCCCAGTTGCTGGTGTGCAGAGCCTACTACCGAGGTGTCCATGTGCCGGGAAAGGCGATTCCCAGCCAGGGATGTGCATACATTGCCCACGGTGGGCGGGAGATTGTCGAGCCGTCGTATCAGATGTTGGTGGGCAAGGGAAAGTACCATTGGGTGCCCTCCTATGGCGGAAATGTGCCACCCGGAGCTGTTGTGGCCGGAAGAACTCCGTCCGGAGAACCACTTTACGTGGGAAGGGGTCATTACCTGGGCAGCTTGACTCCCGGCGTGATTGAGTCCTACAACCGGTGCCTACAGATCCCGTTCGGTGGTCAGGAGATCCGGCTAAGCAGCTATGAAGTTCTTGTTAGAAGTGACATTTTCCACGGACAACAGGCCATTCGACTTGTTTACTAAAGCGAACCTACATATATAACAGCATTAAATCCGCGAAATTCAAAAGAAGCTAGCTATAAAAAACTAGGAAAACTAAAGTTTACTCTGTTATTTCAACAATTTTGATTCAACATGAAGCATCATTTTTTAACATATCAATTTTAGATGCTATTAATATTTTAAAACAAGCGCAGCTACCTCTATAAAGACCAAAGGTTAAATCCCTAGCAGAAACATGATCATAATTGTATACACTTATTTAGTAAATAAACATATTTATTATCTATGAACCATTGAGTTATTTATGCACTTGTTATATTTATTCACTTATAAAATTTGAAGTCGATATTGCTGTTATTACTTAACGCCCTGTATCATGTCTTGTGTTAAGATTTTATTATTTGTTTTGGTTTGGGCTTATGATTATCTTATCTTCACTATAGTATCATTTTGCAAGGTTGTTTAAGATTCGCAATACGTATAATGTATGTAATGTATAAAACAATTTAACAAAAATACATTAAAAAAATTAAATAAATTGTATTTTAAATATTGACAACCCTATTCTTGAGTTGCTTATTGATTAGGCAGTAAAAGACGAATGTTTTATATTAAGTATATTAAATGGTTTTTCTTAATGTACAGATTTAGTATATTTTTAAAAATGGTTTTTCTTAATGTACAAAAAGTAGTTGAAGCTTTAAACAGTCATTACTCATTAAAAACCTAATAACACCATTTTGCTGTAGCAAAAAATAAACATTATGTGCGAAACCATAAAGGCCTGATTTCTTCCGCTTTAACCGAGAAATTACAATTAGTAGATGTTGAGAAACTGATTTCTGGGCACAAGAGCTTAAGGTCAAAATAAAATTGTATCACGTAGAATATAAAAGTTGGTTTTATGTGCGGAATTAAAAACGCTGTATTTCCACCAAAGAACCGCATATGTTCGAAACTTCCTTGAACCCAAATGCGGTTTATCATTAGACAAAACCGGCATTTCCCACAACTACCCGTTATTGGTCAACACAAGATTTCTTTAAAACGATTCTGGTTTTTTCGACGTCAACACAAGATGAAAGAGACGGGCGAGAAAGAAAGAGCAGGTAAGAGTAAATATGAGCGACTGCGTCATGACTTGTTATCTTTAAAGTACACTGGCAAAAAAAAGGCACTCTTGTAATTTCAATTAAATTCAGCTGTTTGTTAATCTTTAAAGATTTTCTTAAAAATTACTACAAAATAATGGTATCAGATGGCGGAATCTTAAAAAAAAATTGTTATGAGCTAACAGAAAAAAAAATTGTTTTTTAATATAAACTGCATTTTCAGTTATTAAAGAATCTCTAAAGTAAAATTAAGGTCTCAAAATTTAGGGATTCGTTTTGAACAAACCTAACCAAGTTATAATATAAAATGATGTTTTTGCATGACTTATAATAGTATTTAATTGTTAACTATTCTTGTCCCAATACTTTTCAAAACCTACAAATTTACCTTGTTCCTTTTTGACAACTTTTCGAGGGCAAAGTTAAAGAAAAATAAGTAGCCTTAGTGTATGATAACATTTTTCCCCTTCTAATTAACCTTATCCAATCCATAAACGTATTTAAAACAAATGTCAAATAGTGAGTAAAAATATTGTTGTATTTATAGCTTAAGAATTAAATAACATTTGTTATTTAGGATTTTCACTTTATAAAAAGCTTTATCAGTTCGAAAACCTATAAAAGAAATAACAAGCATCATGCCAGACAAAAATGCATTGCTGATATGAAGTATTGGGGCCGCATTAAATATTAATGGTTTGAAAAGAAACAAAGCCAAAAGCGAGATATAGAAATACTGATTAACCAAATGTTAAGCATGCAAAAAAAGAAAAACTTTCGCTTTTAATTGATATACGACTGTGTCCTCATCATTTCCCACGTCTTTAAATGTGCACGAATTTTTAGAAATACAATTTGACTTGTTTGAGATAACATGGTCCGTAACCAAAAGAACTTTTTTATGGTGTCGATTTCAAGGGGCTCCACTATTATTTCACCAGCTAGTGACAAACGTTGAAATAAATAGACTTTGCAAATAAACACATCACACTGTGTTTTTTGCTTGTGGTTTGATAGAAGTACATCGTATATAGTTTATTTCATTTTGATAATGGGCTATAAGAGTGCTTACATGTGCCGATTAGATTGGAGAAGAGTTCCCTTTGGAAAATTTTTGCAGATTTGCTTGTTCAATCGCCTTACAGTAGTGGTGAAATCATATGCACAAACAAGCCGATTGATTAAATTTGGATTGGGGAAGTCGCTGGGAAACGTGAGAATGCCGCTACCACGCTTTAAAGTCCAGGTATTTCACGGCACACCTGAGCGGCGGGATGAATCACGGTTTTCGCACGCGATACAGATACAGATACAGATTTCTTTTCGGTTAGTCCCCCGATCTTACGAATTCAGCTTAAAACCTTTCGCGAGGGGAAAACCATGCACGCAAATGGATTACGTTCAGTCACTTTTTTATTGCTTTGGCTTAAGACCAAATTGTCTGCACAGCTATAGACATCGGTAAGGAAACATAAACAAATACCGTTTATGGGACTGATAAGAGTCGGGCGTCGATGGTACCTAGATCTATCTAATCTGTGTCTAATCTGCATGGGCCATAATATGGCCATAATACTATGTTTTGGTTACAGGATAGGGTTCGGGAAACCAGTATGGCCAGAAGGCGGTTGCCAGGGGGAGCCCCGATTAGTTATACGATCGGGTTTATTGCCGTACCGATTCGGGGTTCGCCGAATGTCGATCCGCGGCCGAGACCCGAGATTCT